TATAGAATTCTACAGGAAAAGAAACTTGGTGGTTATTGTTTCTCCGATACATTTTTCTGTTAATTTGCACTAATATCCAGCCATCTGAGTAGCAAAGCAGTCTCATGTTATTCTTATATGTAAAATACATAAAAGATGAAATCTCACTTAAACATAGCACACACGTGTGTAGTAGCACACCACCACAACTCTTCACAAGTTCCAACTACATCTAGCTTTGGCTTCAATGTTTTTGGTTAACCTAAGATTACGTAAAAGCTGAAAAGAATCAGAGGGCCCAGAGGGTGCTGGATTGACAGCAGGAGACAAGAATTGAAGGTGGCCTCTTCAGCCATTCTGGACTACCTCAACTACTACTATTGAGGTTGCTTCACATCACCCAACCTGCTTTTTGGAGAAAAAGTAACAGTCCTTCCCACCCCCAAGGCGTTTGACCTCAGTATTGGTTAGCAAACACAGCAGCAGTGCTGGTACTAGTAGAGGTCCCAGCCTCAGCAACTACTGAGGGCTGCTGTTTTTAGCAGAGGATTTCCTCTGGTGGTTTATGGTGCAAAAGCCAAATCATCACAGAATGATGCAAGGATGAGTGACTTAATTTCAAAATTCAGTTTCTTCAACTGCAAAGGAAGAAACTGGAAGATTATTCTGCCAATCGAAAATATACACTTTCATGCAATAGCACCTCAGCTTTTAGTTATGAACAGAAGTTGACTTGATCTTGCAGATACACTTCAAATAACTCCATTTGCAACTGATATTGTTATGACTTCTTTACAGTCCACAAACACTGTACAACTAAAATGATTAGTTCACCTCCAATAATGAGATTAAAAGACATTTGAAAGCAGCCTAGGGATTTTTTTAAAAGGCAAAATAAGATACACTCAGGAGCATCATCTTAGCTTGCTTAAGAGACAAGAGTTTTAGATGTATTTAGTAACTTCAATAGATTTTTCAAGACATTTACCAGATAATACTACTTGGGCCTGACTCTTACAGAGCAATAACAGTACTCAAGGAAATAAAAGTCTACATGTTTCCCACATTCATTGCTTATTATTAACATCTTTTTATCTGGCTCTTATTTATACTTAGAAATGCTTTACATACATTTCACCTTGTTCTAGTCAGCAAGAATGTCAAGATGGAAGTAAAACAAATTCCAAAAAAACTATTTAAGTCTCAAACAGTTTCATGTTAAGCCTTGAGTAAGTGTCAAAGTGCTCACATTCCAAGATGCTAACTCATTCAGTGATATACATTCATGTACACATACTTTGGGATCAAGATTTATACCAGTTAGCTGACTGCCAAGGAGTATTTTTAATAGAGCTCATGACCAGTGCCTCATGAGTCTGGTTTATTTAAAACTTCATTAAAAACGATATTGAATTAAAATGACAAATGCCATTTCAATAAGGAAAAAAAGTCAGAAATAGAAGTATCTATGTTTTCAATTTCTTAACAATTTTCAAAATTATTAAAAAGCATAGCTTATTATTGCTGAAGCCAAGGACAAATGCAAGCAAACATGTAATCTACAGAACGATATAGTGAGTAAAAGCTAAGGAAGGGAAAATTATGAGGAACCGGATGCAAATATTGCAAATTTGTGCCTATAAACACCGAATCCCTTACCTTCTACCTGCCCGTCTCCCACAGCCATGCTCTTCTGACTTGCCTCCTTCCGTGAATCGTGCTGCAAATGCTCCCTCTGTTGCCTGGCTTGTTGCATAGTGTGGGTCTTCCAGAGTTTCCGAAGTTCTTCAACTTCTATTTCCGAGTCTTGAGTTGGCTCTTGCATCGTTTTTCCTCTGCCAGTTGTCTCCTTTTCAGAGTCTGTGGTACCTTTGCAAGGGGAACATTCCTCTCCTGTTCCTCCCGTATTGGAGAGAGCTCCGACTCCGTGAACACGTCTTCCGAGAGGGACTCCTCCGTGCTCCTGGGGGCAGTGCTAGCACTGTCATTGCCTGTGTCCCGAACCCTGGACTCCATTTCATCTGTATTGCTCCTTGCAGCCTTCTTGGCATGGCCAAGTTCCCTTCCAGACTGATGTTCTACATCCCTGTTAAGCAAATAAGAATGTTAAATAAAAAGGCATTTTGTATTGTAACTTTTTACTAAGTATCATTTAATGCTGAAAACGGTTTCAAAAAATGCCCTCCTTTCTCAAATACCTTAATCCAGAATAAGAAACAAGCATAAATTACATTCTTACAAAGACAAGTCTCTGGCAGACCTTTTGCCCAGGTGATCCAGGTGACTTCCCAACACCAGATGTTCTCCAACAAAACCCACCAACCTGTTTGAGAGGCTTGAAGTGTAAAAATATAACAAACAAAACAAATCCTAGAGAACTCTCATCTCTAAAGGTAGAAGCTCTCCACAGTCTAAGTCACATCTACCAAAGAGCCCAGTATAGCAGCAGATGGATGTCCCATCCTGCTACGAAGCCAACACCTGGCTCCCTGATAAGAGGTGAACGGTGGAAGTCTTGTCTAACTTTAACTACCTAAACTACTTGTTGCAGATCTGCAGGAACCAGAGTAGATCTCACCACTCATTACAAAAAGCTGTTTCTGCATCATTTAGTAACTACAACTTCTGGACAAGCACAATCTAAGGTTCACAAAGTTCGTAAAATTCTGTATTTTCAAGTATATTTTTGTAAGTAAAGAGGAAATTTTAATTCTAAAATTGTTCAAGTTTCCATTCTGTAAATCACTTTTTAAATTGATATAAAGACAAAAATGGACCCATTAGCAATTTCATAGTGGTCAAGGGAGATAGTAAGTGCTCGAGGACCTCTTGCCACAAGTAATGCATACAGATTTTGAAGGGACATTATTGGAGGATAGTGGAAATCTGTACATGGAAGATATTCTGTACAGTATTTAGAATGTAAGATCTTAAGATAAGGGCCTCTCCAGGCCAGCCTCGGATGTTCTTCTTTAAAAAGGAGGAGAAAAAAAAAAAGTGTTTGTTCTGGTTTTATGTTATTACCAACAGGGCTACAGTTCATATTTGTTGAAAGCTTCATAAACACTCTTCTGTCTTACATGGTTAATGAATCCTTAATTTTGCTGTCCACAATTTCCTTATACAGAGCAGCTGACATCACTTCTTCCATTGGACACATGATGCCATACTCTTCACAGCCGTTCTCTTGGACCAGAGGATCCATTTTATGAGGATCAAACATTATATTATTTGGTGTCACTAGCAGCACACCATTGACTGTTCCCTAAAATGAGAGGGAGAACAATTGGTAAGTTTTCTCTGTAGTGTTCCAGGTTTCTTTTTCTTGAAGTATTTTTAATTAAATAATCTTCACATTTCAATATTTGAGCAGCTTTTACTAGTCATCAACCACAATTACTCATGCTTTGTCACATCTAAAACACGTATTTTTTCTATAGAAGCTGATCAATACTGCCTGCTTCTCCCAAGACGAAGCAGCTCTGTTCTGCACAGCTGCTTAGTAATTGTGCTGAGTAAAATAAAGTTACTTGAACACTTGAAGGATATGCTAAGCAGCTGCCCAAAATTATCTTCTTCCCAGATAAATTTTATTAGAGCCTTCCTCTAGCTCTTTAATTCCAAAAATTGAAAGATCACAGTCATTTGCCTCCATTTTCTTTACACAACAGTAAGAGGAGTAACTGATTCAGATCATTCTGACTTAATAGACCTATTGCTCACTTAGACAAGTTTATAGAAGAAAATTAGTTTAAAAATATTAAAGATTTTTCATGACAAACAGCATCAAGATGCAGTTTTGGATGAATTTAATCATAACGATATTGCTGTAGCATACATATAAGCGTATACTTTAAACTTTTTAAGTTTAAAAAGTGTAAAGGAATGTGATATTCATAATATAAGAAGTTCTTATAGGTCTTAAGGGGTTCTTAAGCAGCAGATGTCAAGATAATTCATTACACATTGAACTCTTGAGCAGTTGGAAAAGCACAGTATTAGTCAGTTGCCCATGAAAATAAGTTTGCAGTTCTGCCCATTAAAAGAAGTGACCTTTTCGCAAGCTTAAAATTAACCACAGGAAAATCAACTTTTAGTAGGATGTTAGTGACCCTTCAGTTCTTTAAGTTAAGCTACATATTTCTGAGATGTGCTAATAAGGACCTCCTTAGTATTACAAAAAGCAAAAGCTTATTCATGCAATATCCTTTATTGTTCAAAGACGAGCTGCAGTTTGAACAGCAGCAAACAAGTATTTCTTTATAGCCATTCAGGCCAAAAGGATGAAAGCACCCAAAAACCTATGCAAATAACACCACGGTGAAAATTCAGGACCAAAACTATCCACCTTCCACTGCCCACGTGTCACACTATCCCCTTCAAAATGGGCAGGCTGGAGAGCTGGAAAAAGATGGGAGCAGAGCAGAAGAGGTGCATGGCCGCTTTAACATAAAGATTTTGAGGAACACCACCAGCATCTAAAATTATGTATTCCTCAGTATCAGCAATCACTGATCAGGTGCTGTAGAGAAGTCTTCTTTTCCAGGCTAAGATTTTTGTCTTCATTTGTTCACTTTATTTTGTGACAAAGGTTTTTAGTCCCAAATTTTAACTACCCCTTTCTCAGACATGCCACGTCACCAAGGTTTCTCTAATAGCTTCTGCTGCTCCTCTGTAAGACAGAGGGCTTCCGTCTTTATTGCCAATTTTTTTTTGCAGGACAAAAGCTTCTTTACAACCTGTGAGATCTGTATTACTCAGACTGAGTTGCCAGCATGGACAGCAAGCCAAGTGCTATTGATCCAATGAGAAAAAATGGGTAACATCTGAACAATGCGTGGTCGGGGGAACATATGTATATGTAGCAAACTGCCAGTCAACAACTGCTCATCAGCCTTTCCTGGATGACAGAGCTGAAAGAGCTCCCCTCTTTGCCAGCGTGTACCACAGCTTTGCATTAATGAAGCTAAAACTGAAACAGTCATGGAAGAATTACTAAAGCTTTATTTCCTTGTCAGTTTGCCATTACAGACCAGACAAACCTCCCTGTCAGCATTTCAACACATAATTCACAACTATTGTCTCAGTGAAGCTGTGATGAACTCTTGGCACTCCAGCACCACAAATTCATGTTAGGTTCTGAATAGGTTTACGTGGTTACTCGTGCACAGCAGTGCACTGTGACAGAAGATGGCTCAGCTGTTCCACAAGTGCCCAGAAGTGTGACAGTACTGAGGTCCAGCATAAAACTGGCAGCCTACTGCTTTTTACCTTCCTTTCTTTACTTCCTCTTACCTTTGAGGCACTAAGGACAACAGCCTAAATTCTATTCCAAATAAAATTCTGGAAAGGGACCACCTTCAGGACATTCTTTGGCTTCCCAGTGAACAGTGCAGAGAACTGGGAACTGGTGGAGGAAGCTTTTTTCCCCCCTGCAGAAGAATACTGAAAATACTGATGGATAATGAAAAGATTCAAAAATCCCAAGAGGCTCATGCTTGGATGAAGCAAGAACCAGGACTGCCGGGAAGGGCCTGCTATGTACGTGATAAACAGCAGGTCACTGTGCTGTAAGGACCTAACATGGCCACTTTCACACTAGCCCATGTCTAACTGGGCACAACAAGTCTCCAACAGTGGCCACAACCAGAGCCAGAGCTCCCACGCTCCAACCAGCATATGGGAATTCCCCAAGATAAGATTACACAGGAAACAAGTGTGACTAAGAACAACTCTAAGTGTATATAGAAAAATCAGTCTTTAAAAGCATGCAAATGCAAAGTTTTATCTTAACCAGAGCCTTTTCTTATATTGCACTTTAACACATTGAGAGGAGTTTTTCGGTAGATTTTGATTTAGGAAATCTCTGACTGGGACTTCAAATATGTGCTCTAAATCCATAAAACATTGTTTTATAGTACCTATAAAATTTTAAGTTTTCCTCCCCTTTCTGAGGAGCATAATCAGCAGCATTTATACATGTAGACTCAAATTTCATGTGAAGACTAAATTAAGTAAATGAGTTTGTGTGCATTCACTTAGCTTGAGTGAAGGTATGATTTTTCAGGATTGAAGTGTCTAGTAAAGAGGCACGTTTTGGCAGGGTGAGAGAGCATGATACCCAATTTTCCTGTGAATTTTGAATCTCTAAAATCCACATGACTTGTGCTGTTATGAGCTGAAATCAAGTTAATCAAATACCATTTGGCCAAATCCCCTAGGCATTTGTGTAAAGACACCACCAAGAGAACTGCCATTAGAACTGCAAAGCCAAGGTTTCTGCCACGCTACACGTCCTAGGGAAGTTTGGAGGTTAATTCTATTCTATGCTCTGCTTTAGAAAAACAGAAGTGAAACTACCCACCTAATTATTTTCTTAGTGTTTCAGCCATGTGCTTATCCACTCTTAGCAAAAGGAATTACTGATAAGAAATACTAACATATGGCACCAAGGAGACTTCCTGACCTCAACACCTAAGATTTGCCTTTGCTTCAGGGATATCCATTTCTAATGAATTGCACATTTATTATAACTAACAGACAAGTTCCCTGGGAACCCAAAGAAAACAGAGGGGTGAGAAATGTATATAGCCTGTTCCAATTTGGTCTACCTACCTATCTGTCACTAGGTCTTGTTCTATGTTTTTATTTTAAGGGTGCTGTATTTTTCCATTTAATACAGTAAGAGAGTTCAAAGTGCTGAAACATGAGTGCTGAAGTACCTTGCCATTAGTGATGTACTTGCAATTAATTTTGAGGAACTTTTCTGTAAAAGCTTCCTCCTCTTCAGAGGTGGAGGATACCACTCTTGTAGGACGAACACATGAAAGTGCTGGTGAAGCAGCTGGCTCTTTTTGTTGGACTCCATCTGGATCCTAGAAGAGAACATAAAGAACTTATCAGCCTGCCCTTGTCAATATGAACTTTAAGAGATTGTCAGGCACTTTTTGTTCTTACTTCGACATGAAAGCAATTGCAAAACAGATTTCCAAATTCACTGCTCTTTAAAGGACTGCTTTCATCTGACAGTTAACGTAACCGATGAAACGCAGCTTCACAAGTCCAGAATAACAAATGCAAGTGGGCAGGGATATTCAGAATTTACCTTGGAACAAACAACAAAACAATAATCATGATTCACAAAAGCCATCTGAAATATTCTGACAGGAAAAAATTGAGTGACAGGTATTTAGCAGAAAAGATGATTTTTCAGCTTTAATAAACAAAACCCTTCAGTGCTGTTACTCTTTTATAATACCTGCTACTACTTCAGGTTAGAAGAGCCCTCTGAAGGGCTTCCAGTTCAAAGCAGGCCAAGGTCTGGCATAGATCAGGTTGCACATGGCCTTCCCAGCTGAGTTGAAGTCCTCGAGGCTGGAGAGATGCCACACTCCAAGAAACCTGTCCCAGCACCTAATATCCTCATTATGAAAAAGCATTTCCCAATATCCTAACCAGGACTGCTTGCAAGACAACTAGTGACTGTCACCATCCACGTGCTTCTGCTGAGCACCTCTAAGAAGGTCTTGACTCTTGTCTCTCTAACCTGATGGCGAGCTCACTCCCACTGCCTGGGTCACTGATTAACAAATAAAAAACATCGGCCCAAGTAACGGCCAAAGGATTTTAACTGTCTACCCTGCACCCCACAAAAAGCCAAACAAATCCCCACCAAAAAACATCTGGAATCACCGAGTCAAGATGCTGTCAGTTCTCCACCTGCTTTCCTAGTCTGCACTACCCATGTGTTTACAGCAGCAATAGGGTAATGCCAAAGCCCTGCTCTCCTCAAGGCAAATATCCACTGCTCTCCCCCCAGCTACTGAGCCAGCCTCCCCATCCTGGTAGGTGATCCGGTGTGATTTACCCTTGGCAAATCCATGCTTGCTGCTCCCAGGCACCTCTGTGTTTTTCATAGGCTCTGACCTAAGTTCCAAGAGAATCTGTTTCATGACCTCCTCAGGCAAATGGTGGGGGAATGTTATTTATTCTGCTATCAGCACATCAAAAGTGATCAACATATGAACATAGAAGCCTGTGAACAAGACTTTTTTTTTTTTTTTTTAAATGAAAACAAGAAAGTCCAAACCCCAACAATGAAAAATTGCTTTAAATAAAAACTACATATATAGAAGAGAGACTTCTCAAAAGACTTCTTCCCAGGTCAACAGTACTGCTTGGAGTTTATCAGCATTTACAGACTTCTGTTCCATACGGAGCTGTTACTTGTGGTTATTAATAAGATCACACTATCTGCAAAGAAAATAGTTATTTCTATGTCCCCTTTGTTTTTATGCTTTTCTATGCAGGTCACTAGTGTAGATTATCCTAACTGTTTTTGACCCCATCAGGAGATGCACATGCTATAGTTTCCTGTATAACATCTCTCTGCCACTATTTTAGCCTTTGCTCTGCTCGCTTCTTTCCATCCTAGGGAGGGGAAAAATAAAGGCAAACAAACAAACATACCCACATCCAAATCTTACAGCAGAAAATTGTATTTTTATAAAAAATGAAATAAAAGCTAATGGTGATACGGTTAAAAAGCAGCCTTCCTGGGTATGAGTTTTATTTCCACATAAGCCCTTCGTTCAAAAACTATAAGCTGTCACCTTTGCAACAGCTTATAACTCTAAGAGCAGATCCAAAAGTTCCCAGATGATATCCAGACACCCTGGAAATATACTGGCTATTTCTTGTCCATATTCCTATGCCACACAAGTTGGGGCAATATTGGTGGCAGATTTCTCAGATTTAAACGACAACATTCTTGTCACTACATGTTATTTTGAATTGGATTTTGAGTTTTGTAGGTACTGAAGACTTTGGGAGCTTAAATTCATGCATCAGATGAGGACACCCTTCACATAACCAAGAGCATA